TTGGCCAAGGCTAGGCAAAGTGAAAGGGAAAGAGAAAGGGGGTGGCCCCAATCTGAAAAAGAACCGTGTGCATTAGCAACGTGCCCTAATGGCCAAGGCATTTCCAATCTCAGTCTGCCTCAAAAGAGAACCAACGATTTTCTAGGTTAGAATTACATTATATAGTTTGATAAAATCAAACCGAAAATTGGAAATGCCTTTCATAAAATAAAATCATGAAATAGCAAAAAAAGCGTAGAACAAGATGGTGGTCATCAAAAATTTCTCCACATGCTTCTGATATAAAAACATAATCATCGAATATTCATAATCAACGTACTTATAATTTCACTGAACTATGAATGACTTCGAAGTTGAGTCATTTATTTTAATAGTGAATAGATCTGATCAAAAGAAATATTTTTTTCCTTTACCATTTTTCTGGTAAAATTAAAGTAACAAAGTTATAGCCCTTTGGAAGTTTGAGTACCGCCCTGTCTCAATATCATGTGCTCGTGTTTGGCAACAACGGATATAATCCGCCTTACCGGTTCATCGCATCGGAAACAAAAAAGCGAAGGAATTTGGAACGATGTTTGTGTACAGTTTATTATTTTATTCAGTTCAGTTATACATACAGTCACTGTCAGTGTCGCGTGTGAATAGTGTCTGTTGCGTGGCTCAAACGAAATAAAAAATGGCACATGTTTATGCGGATCGGTTTCCCAATCGAGTGCAACCAACCCCTCGTGCCTTTGTTAATGTAGTACAACGGCCTCGTGAATCAGGAGACTTAAGACCTCACAGGGGACCTCACGATCAAATACAGGTCCGCACTGAAATACTTGTCGGGAGGATACTTTATAAAACAAGGTAAAACATTTTTTTTATTTTTTTTTTATTTTTACACACATATTTTGGTTTATCTTCCTTCTACAATCATTATCTGAAAATCAATGACTCAACTTCAAAGTCACCCTGTATACGCGCACAGAGGTAAAATCGATGTGGATCGATTTCCACCTCGATTTGATTAAAGTTATGGCGAATGATCGAAGTAGTCGAAAATGACGTTCGATGGATATTTTAAAATCGTACAAGAAATAAATCACTTACATATCGATTATCTATAAACTACAGGCAGATCCAGCAATAAAACTGTATAGTATTATAAAACTCACCATTTTTGTCCTATAAGGACACACATTCTAGAAAATTCTAGCACATGGTGCTATATAACCTTGTGCTACTGAGAAGAAATTTCTAGCCGTTGTTCGATCGGCGGCTCAAGTGAAAAGGAAGCGCGAGGAAGATCGCAGATCAGGAACTCCGCATCAAGCGCTCCAAGCGGAAAATTTTCCAAGCAAAAAAACTAGAGATGGGATTAATGAAATGATAATCGAGAAGTGATTTAATAAATACGATCGGACGGTGAAACCGTTACACCTTTACGATCGGTTACGATGCCTAGAGTACGGAGACCTGTACGATTTCGTCAACTTAGTGAGTTTGATAGGGGCCGTATAGTGGGACTTCGGGAAGCTGGACTTTCTTTTCGGGCAATTGCAGTTAGAGTGCAAAGAAATGTAGACACTGTGGTTAGATGTTGTCAGGCATGGCTTCGAAAAGGCCGTACGCAAAGAGCAAGGGGCACTGGACGCCGCCGTAGAACAACAGACCGTGAAGATCGCCGCCTGAGATTATTGGCCTTAAGGGACCGTTTCTTCACTACCAGGTCCATTGCAAATGAATGGTTTGCACAACACGCAAGACCTATTGGCATGCGAAGTGTTTACCGACGAATGAGAAGTTTTGGCTTGTTTCCATACCGGCCACACTTGGTCCTCCCTTTAACTCGAGAACACCGACGTAATCGCCTTGAGTGGTGCAGACAACGGTCACTCTGGGATCAGGAATGGAACAGTATTGTCTTTAGTGACGAGTCTCGATTTTGTTTAGGCATGCACGATGGTCGTGCCAGGGTTAGAAGGCGACGTGGTGAAAGGAGGAGTCCACAGTTTTTTGTTGAAATACATGTTCGTCACACTGTTGGAGTTATGGTTTGGGGTGCTATAGCTTATGGTTCCAGGTCACCTTTAATCTTCATCAGAGGTAACATGAACGCGCAGCGTTATATCCACGAAGTTCTAGAACCCCATCTTTTACCCTATCTTGACACCCTGGCAGATCCAACTTTCCAACAAGATAATGCCCGACCACATGTTGCAAGAGTCACAATAGACTTCTTTCAACATAATGATGTCACATTGTTACCATGGCCACCAAGATCTCCCGACTTATCCCCAATTGAGCACGTGTGGGATATGATGGGTAGGAGATTGCTCAATTTGCAACGTCCTCCTCAGACTCTAGAAGCACTTCGAGAGGAGCTGGTGGTTGCCTGGAATGAGATACCACAGGAGGACATTGACCACCTGATCAGAAGCATGCCTAGGCGCGTTGGAGAATGCGTAGCACATCAGGGTGCATTCACACATTATTAAATGTCAAAGGGCTTTAAAGCAGTGCAATCATTTTGAAATTTTTATCATTTACTTATTATGCTTCATTAAGTACTTATACAAAATTTTATTAAAATAAAACCATTTAAACTGGGTGTTCGGATTTATATGTCACTTAGTATAGTTGTGGTTGCACGAACGAGATCTATATTACTAATAGTTATTGGGTTATTCTATTGTAATCATATTGTAGGCCTACTAATCCCACTAATATTACAAATGAGGAAGTGTCTTTTTCACTCCATCTCGCAATAACGGCTAAATGGATCTGGATGAAATTTGGAACATAGATTATGTCTGGAATAGCACGTAAGTCACTTTTATCAAGGGAAATAAGTTTAAAATATCTATTTCACGGGCTACAACCCAAAATTTCTAATACCATTAAGAAATCACGATTATGTTTGGCACAAGTTAGTCCTGCTGAGAAAAAAGTTAGCTACGAACATGTAAAGGGTGGGCCATGAGTTATTTTTTTAAGTTGATATTATTTTGACAGTTGGTGACACTTCCATGCTCAACATATTGACAGATATATTGTGTCAATCTTCCGCTGTGAGCAATAGATGGTTTTAATCTTGAACAAAAGTGGAAAATATTAAAAAACTATTTTCATAGTGAGTGTTGTGGTGCAGAAACTTTGCGAAAATTGAGAAGACTATTTGGTAGGAATGAAGTTCCGTTCGCGACTGGTATACGAAAATTCGTGAAAGAGGTTCGTGAAACAGGCCTGCTTGTGAATAACAGAAGGTATGTGGGTTGTGTGGGCTCTAAATCAATTGGAAACGGACGTCAATTTTGGTCGACAAATCATCTTTTCGGACGAAGCCCACTTCCATCTGGCAGGTTACGTTAACAAGCAGAACTGTAGGATTTGGGGTACTGAAAATCCACATGTGGTCATAGAAAAAACCAATGCATCCAAAAAGAGTAACTGTTTGGTGTGGCTTTTGGAGTGGTGGGATTATAGGTCCCTACTTTTTTCAAGATAAAGATGGTAACAGCGTGACGATAAACGGGGAACGCTATAGAGACAATTGGAGGAGCTTTTTGTAGCCACTATTAGACGACATGCACTTGCTCAATCTCTGGTTCTAGCAGGATGGCGCAACATACCACACCATCCGTGAAAAAATCGATCTTTTACGCACTAACTTCGGTCATCGCGTTATCAGCCGTTCATGGATTACTTCCTATGGGGTATTGTTAACGATCGCTGTTACACTAACGATGCTCAAACGATTGATGTTCTTGAGGAAATATCCGTCAAGCTATTGATGAAATAGACCCACAAACTATCGAAAATATGCTTTAAAATTGGGTTAAGAGGATGGACTACTGCTAGGCCAGCCGCGGCAGCCAGTTAACTGGAATTGATTTTCATAAGTAATCGGAAGGTGTATTCTTTTGAATAAAGTATCGAGTGTTACATATTATTGAGATTTAATACCAATTTAAAAAAGAAACTAACGGATGGCCCACCCTTTATAACCAAAAATTAAATGAACTTCATTCTCCCGCTGCGATAAGTTCCTGCAGGCGCACATGATCATTGGGATGACCAATCACGCGTGAATGATGTTGGCTTCCAGCGCGCACAGCGCATACAGTCCACAGCGGTGTGGAAGCGATTGCCGACCGTAACGTACGACGCTTGTCCATTTGGGGATCACATCGCATTCTTAAGCTAAATGTAAGGGGATGTATAATGAATGAAATATGCCTAATAGGTGGGTAGAAGTACTGGGGGCTGGAGACGTATAAACGAAAAAAAATGTATCCCCTAACCCTCTATTTTTAAACACTACAATTGTTTTCCGAAAATGATTCGATCTTCTAAAACGTCAAGCGATTTTTATTTTTTTCGTTTTTCCCTTCTTTCTCGGCCGCCACTGGACCGTTTCTGAAACACTAAAAAGTTTTTTCGTCCTTGGCATAGAAGTAACATTGTATTAATTTCCTGCGAGCGGTACTCCTCAACTGATAGGCGCTTATAGGATTAGCGAACAGACAGACAGACCGACAGATCCATAGACCGATAGACCAACATACCGACAGACAGATAGACAGACAGAAATGAGTGAGATGGTTTTCTTCAGATATTATCCAAAAAACATAATATCTCATTTTCGATTCTTTCGTGAGAACAATACTTCCTCGCCAGTACGCGTGGGTACTAAAACAGTAGGTGTGTGTCGTAGGTACCTAAGAGGCAATGTCGCTATGTGCTCTTTTTCCAACTATCTTCAGAGTCGTAAAAGGAATAACAACCGCATTCGTATCTATGAAGTGATTAATTTTTTGCATGGATCCCGCAAGGAAGCTAGCGCTGATTATGATGATTAGCATTCCTTTTGATTTTTCGAATGGATGAACTTGCAGCAGAGCAGCGGTCGTTGCAGATTACTGCGCACTGCACCTTACCGTCAGTCCAGCGATGGGTGTGTTGTTTTTATTTTTTCTTCTTCAGTCGATGCTGAAAGTGAATGGCCTGCTACAGTACCATAAACGCTACTGACCAATCACTATGTACAAACAAGACTGTTTCGCTTATCCAATTATTACGTCTTCATCGCTATAGTGCAGTGCAGTGAAGAGTAGTCAGACAAATTGAATCGGTGAGTTGAAAAACAGTACAAGTCCAAAATTTGACATTTTTAGTTAGGATAGCCAATCGCCTTTAAGTTTGCTTTTCTATCGAATGAGTGTACAAACAGTACGTTATACATCCCGATGTATTGTAGATGCGAACAAGCTACTTGTCAATGAGCTGAAAAACAGTACGGACTTGCTGTTATTCAACTCACTGACCTAACCACGCAATGTCCCGATTTCTGCTTGCACTACAGGCAACTTGTCGTTTTAAAAAATATCACTATTTTCCTGTTCATGTGCATTCATTTTTACCTTGCGGCCGTGATGTTGGCACTGTTAAGCGGGTTTTTAGGAGTCACACAGGATATACACTCCTGAAGATTACGATGAGATGATTCGATCCGCAAGAAAAACATCACCATTCACTGTTCAACCCATCTCACATAGTGGTCTTTACACTACAAGAAAACTACTTGTACTTCGATAGGCGAAAACAACGCTAGAAAAGAAACGTTTAGCATTTCGAACTATAGGCAGTTTCTATATGATAGTGACACCCCTGGTTACGTCACGACATGCGAGTATACCCGTATAAATGGTTTATCTTCATTCACTTTAAACTTATGAAACAGAATAGAGTTAATCCGGCCCTTCCCACTGAAAAGGCTTATAAATCACCTGTTCCAATAAATAAGAAAAATATTGATGACATCAGCAAGGTGATGTAACATATAACAGGAGAAACCTTGAATTTTATTATCACGTTACTTCATGGTGAACTACCGAGGTCGAGGAGGATCCCTAAATAGTTTTTTTATACTTAATAAATAATTTTGTCTTGGTTTGTTCATATAATTTCGCCAATTTCTCACCTTTTTTTGCTTGAGTTGAAAAACTGACCACTATCCTTTGCAGGGCATTACTCAATGGGTGACCCTTTTTTCAAAATAATAAGTGCTTACCTGGTTCAAAAATAATAAGAGTTAGAAGTTACCTGTACAAGTAAACATTCTATCTGAAACAGTTTTAAAGCTATATGGTTTTCATTGATTTTCTCAGAAGTACAATTTAGGACATATATTGTTTTTTATCTCTCCGATTCAATTTGAGGTAGACAAATTTTATATAATGCTTATTCAGTCATTTGGAGAAGCTCATATTGTTGTCCTATTTTATTTAAAATTAATTAGTACATATAGTATGACTGTTGCTTTGATTGTACAGTCAGGGTTAATGATAAAATGATATAAACCTTCGTGTGAACTATTGATGAAATTATTTTTATACATAACAATTTTTGTGGGATATGACGTAAGTGGTACGAATTCGAGAAATACAGTTTTCAAAGGTTTGGATCATACAGTACTTTTCAAAAAGGTCTCCTCCACCTACTTAACCATGTTATTTAAAAAGTCACATTGTATGGATTTTTATGACATTAAGAAGGTTCTTTTGACATTATTTCGTTTTTCTATACAATGTCATCTTTGAAGTAGTTTATATTCACTTCACGCTTACTTGTATGTAGTAGGCGCGGAATGAACTATTTGTACAGTAGTCTACCGAGTCAACAAGTTGACATTCTATCGTTTTTTTTTTGTCATTATACAGTTTTTTTTGTCGTAACCTTGTAGGTCGAGCTGTCAAGCAATTCAGAGTAACGAAATGAATGCATATTTAAGCTTAAAAGTGGCAGTTTAAAATTTCAGTTTAATGCTCCCAAAACCCACTACTGTACCTTGACGAACTCAAAGCGTCCTTGCGCCCATCCGGTTTCGATGGATGGCCCAGTTCTGCCAAAGAGCCGTTCATTTAGACTAGTCGGAGTCCAGATCATCATTTTCACCATGTTCGATGATGTTCAGAGGAGGGCTTTCCGACTAATCGGTGACTCTCCTCTGACAGTCTCGAAACTCATTTGTACCGGCGGGCTGTCGGTGATTTAGCTCTCTTCTAGCGCTACACCAATGGGTTTTGCTCCTTAGACGTTTCCTCCATGATGCCGCCGCGTGATGTGCCTGCCAGACAGACTCTCCTGACTTCCGCCTTCTATCCGAACCGCGTCGAATTTCGTACAGCTCCTTTCTACAAATGGAGGCTTTTCCCAGTCTTACTAATCTTAAGCAGGTCAAATATAAGATTAACGAAGTTTATTTGGGATCCTCATAGCAGCCGCGGTTCACTGGCATTTAGTCTTCTGCTTCCGCTGCTACTTCGGTGCAAAAAAGGATGGCAGATGAGCGCCATTTTGGAACATTTGCTTGATTTAAATATTCGAAGTAAGATTCCATTATAAAAAAACATTACACGGTAGATGCCCAGCCACCACATTGAAATTAACAGCTGTTATTTTTACTTTAAGATATACTACTTATGCGTCAATTTCGTCTTTCCGAACTTCATCTTGATAACTTGACTCGTACAAAAATAAGTAATTGGTGAAAAGCACTTTATTTTGACAAGTCAAATACTGCGCTGGCAAAATATCGTGACTCACATTTTGGCTCCATGGATAATTCATCTGCCGGCTCAGCAGTCAATATAAACCGCTGAAACAAATAACGAGACTTATAAATGTCAGCATCTCAATCTATTTTTGAATTCCAATACTCATTTTACATCTTCATTCTGTAACTACTTTAAAGAATGCTCAGGATGTGATGGCAAAAAATTGAATTAATAAAATGAGACCGTACTAAATGAGCAGTTTCACAGTTTGTTTCACCAGTACTTTTACAATTATGTCTGCTGGTAGGTACTTGCCGCCCCACTGCTTCCAGTACTTATCATTACGAGTGATAATTGCTCTCGAACGCAGTGGTAGTTCCTATATGTATGAGGAGCGGATTGGAAGCGGTTATTTTAGTAGTACCAAGCATTCTGGCCGCACAAATGACCGTTGTTAGGGTAATCCACCTGCCATTGTCTTGCTTCAACGATGATTGCTAGACGGGCGCCTGGATGCTTCACTAGGATATGACGCCACAACATAGTCGTACCACGCACGTACTTGATCATTTTGCTTGAAAAATCAGACTAGAAGAACTTGTACCAATTTTCAAAACTAATGCTAATCCTATTATGATTAGTGATACTTCCTTCACATACTGTAGAGAAGATGAACAAATATTAGTTTTGGAAAATGTTTAAATGATATTTTGAAAAATCATGCAAGCATTATCACTGTAATTTTTGTAGGTCATCTTAAGACTACTGAAAACGTGGGTATTTCAATGTAAGAATCAGCATCAGTAAAAGGAAGATACTTAAATGGTTGAAGGGCTGGGACGCAACTGGTCAACACTTTTCCACACAACGTAGCTATCTAAAGAAGGTAAAAAAGAGAGTACCGCTTCACAAATAATATGTGAACGAGTTTTTTTCCAAACCACAGGATAAGATTTATATGTTACTTTAATTCTAGAGATCAAACAGTTTTCAAGATGTACACGTACAAACTAGAAATCGGATTTGAAGATGAAGGATACGATTATATTCTATTTTATTTCGAAAATTCTGGGCTTCGAAAATTTTGGCAATAAAATATATAGTCGACGAAAAACTGAAGCCTAACTTCTTAATCTACATAAGCACAAATACCGTTAAAATATTTAGTAATCATTTTCTCTTGTTAGACCATCTAATAAACGATAGGTTCATTTCTTATTGAGCTACTTTCAACAGTGCTCCAGTTTCTGATTTTTGTATACTTTCTATAAGGGTTTAGGTCTGGTTATTGGACAAACAGTAAATTAGATTTATCGTTACCTGCAGAATTCCAGCATGTTTTTGTTATATCATCTTGCAACTTTGAGGCAATGCGGCTTTTCGAAATCTATATGGGACAATATGTTATGGTGGATAATCGAATAGGCACTACCTTGAACCTTCATTGTACGTTCAGGATACGCTGTAATTGTTGCTGCTGGTGTAAGTCATTACTTGATATGACTTTTGTCTTTCTGAGGAAAGATATACTGCATTCTTCTTTTACAAATGCCCGGATCACAGATATTAAGATAATTTAAAATGAATATACGAAAGTTTCCAGTTTAGCTCAACCACAGCTGCGGAGAAGACTTCAGGGTATGTAGGATATGGTCATTTTAAAGAATATATTCTTCTTTGCTCAAGGTTTCTTATATTTTGTGCCTACGGCACTGTTAGCAAAATTGGTACCACTTGGCGATGAATCGATATTATATACTCCAGGTACGCACTGCGTGATGCACCACAAATGCATTGTTTGCGTAATTGTCTGATTGTTTGATTATGGTTTTCTTGATTGCACGTTAAAACCGATAAAACAACAATTCACGTAGACCTATCATTATTCCAACAATTCCAGTGTTTTGAATACGCAGAATCGTGGTTTCGAATTCTGCTGATTTTCTATTATTTACTTACCATTTTTGTTTAAATTTAAACGCATGCTCCGCTTGTGCCGATTATATTATTATTATAGACAGCCAAAACTATGATTTCACGGAATTGCGGAAAATCTTTAAGATATCCTGATTTCATTATCATTTTAGGAGTTGTTAAGTTTTCACATGATATCCTTCTGACGTTTAACATCAATTTTCTCAAGCGAACCTGATGAACAAACATGATCAGCGAACCAATAGCTCAACAGGGCAATTTCATCCTAAATTACAATTTATAATCCCATCAAATAGACCCACTACTGTACCAATTTGCGCGATATGTAGTTGTAGACAGACACTTATCCTGTCCTTGTCACGCTGACAGGTGAAGTTATTCATTGTGCAAGCACTAGGACCGGCACGGGTATTACGTACCTTGAAGAGTGGCATTATGTCGATTTTTTCTTGACGATATATTGTTATTTTGTGACAGTATGTAGGTTTTTTAACAAGATGTTAACCTAGGACACGTGGTTAACGCATTTTGTAGTTGTAGGTGTTGTCTAAACGTCACGAGGCTTCAGTTATCAATGTTTGGCTCTGATACGATGTAGAATCTGCTTCAGAGATGGCATTACTGGATGTAACGGCAATGCATATGTGCATAGTGAGAATTGGGTGCTAATTCCATTGGATTCTTGTCTCAAATACACTACACACAACGCGGGCGCGGTGGTGATTCCCCGTAATTTTTGAAAACACAAAAAATGTAAAAAATCTTAATTTGTAACTTTGAACATAACCTGTTTTCAGAAAGGACAACATATAAATAATGATTTTCTCACACATCATATACTGATTTTATACACATGCAGACGGATACATACAATCATCCAGATGCGATCTTGCTATTCAACCAACTTTCTCCTCAGAGATGATAACTATAGACTACTCGGCTACACAAAACATATGCAACCAACAATGCGTGTAGTTGAGCCATTTCTCCATAGATGGACGCTCACAACGATCTTAGTGAGCAAACGTGGAATGACTGCACCCTAAAAACTACCTAGTCTGCAAGATGACGTTTTATTGTTTTTTTTTGATGTTTTATATGTTTTTTACACCGTGCGGAACCTATACTGCGTCGCCAACACTGCACTGCTCTGCACTGCAGCATAAAAAATAGTAATAATGCCACGAAGATGATAAATAGCGCAGAATTTGAAACGAAAAAAATATTTACTTTATTTAAAAACTACGATACAAACTGTATTTCTGACTAAGGAATACCGAATAAATCCAACTTAACAATAATAAGTTTATATGAACATGCCCAAAACGAGGTTTTGATCTCCTATAATCATGCGATTTCCATAACTTAATGTAGGTATGCCTTTTTAAGGGTATTTTACTTTTCGTTGTTTTTCTTCTTAGGGGAAAACAACTCTCTCATTTCCACCATAGATTATCTGTACTCAAACCGAATATAAATTGATACTGTCTTGGTGGAACAATACAACATTTGATATTTTGCAATAATCTCGCTTTTCTTCTTACAGGTGACGATAATATCAAACAAAAATGTCAGCTTCCATCCGTATTTGCTTGTTAGTAGCAATTTTCTTCCACCACCATCGACTCAGCAGGTCCGAAGATTCCTACGATGACTCGGATAACGCAGCTCCTGGTCCCCACAACAGCGAAAAGGTTAGAGCGCCACCTCCTTCCGCAGCTGGTGCATCCCTTGATGAATGTGATCCCGAGATGGTCGGATTTGAACTCATAACAGGTAGAGTATGATTTTTAATAATTATATCAACGCCAAAATCATCACTTGCCTAGTCTAAGCAATTTGTCTTTTTTAAAAAATAGATAAAGATCTGTTGACGCTACCTTTCTGTGATGCATCTACTTATACCTATGTTTGTCAGAATTAGTGCGGATAGGAAAACCTAGCTGTTACATAGATGGCGCAGCGGTATTTCATTTCATCTGGGATAATTTTTGAGCGCAGGAATATTTGTGGAAAATCGATTTATAAAAATTCGTGTTTTTCAAGCATTAAAAAACTGCATGCTATTCTACGCAGGGTAGGCCAATAATAATAATAATCATCTTTATTAGGGTGTGAATAAAGCATCGCTTCTATACTTGGATGCCGAAAAGGAAGAGAGCAGCGGAACAACTGACCGTATTTATTTCTTAGTAGGTAGCGGCTGCATCTATCGGTATTCCTTGATAAGGTACGGTTAGGTTATTGATTTTACATCATACGCCAACTGGCAAGGAAGTATTGCTGTCGTGGAAAATTGCAAAAATGAGATCATGTTTCATGGAGGTTGACATATGCATCATGTCACTCATTTCTGTCGTTCTGTCGGTCTGCCTATCTCCCCGCTAATCCTTAGTCCCGCTATAATTTCGAAAGTACCGGTTCAAGTTGATGAAATTTTGACACACAAGTGTACTAACTATGCCAAGGGTGAAAAAACCTTGTAGTCTTTGAAAGTCGATCCAGTAGTGGGGGAGCTATAGGCAATAAACAAACTAATCAACACCACTCAAACTTCGTTTTTTTGTATTTTAGAGATTCTTGAGCGACCTCAGAAAAATTGTATTTGGGTTAAATATCAGTATTTGGTGGTTGTAGGATGTAGCTTAATCTTGTGACCTCAGTATATTCATACGCTTTCAACACAGTAATTTTCGCACAGATGAGGTGTATTTCACACATCATACATATCTCCGTACATTTGCCCTTAAAACAGAAGTATTTTTGCAACAAGCATCCTACGCAATGCACCAAACGTAGATATCCCTGCATCGAGGTCTGACTGATGGATGACTGGAGAGTGGCGAGGTTAGTCTAATCAATGTTGCCAGATGGTCGACACTATCGGTAGGGCAAGGGAGAAAAATCTACATCGCAACAATGTCAAAACAGTGGCGATGATGGACTCTACTTTCAGAGGGGCTAACCTGCACCCAACATAATCCTTTATGAACCGATGACAGCGTTGAGTGGGCAGTACAGAGTCAACCTTCTTGACGCTTTATTTTATATCGCTTTGACTTCTCTATAATCAGTTGAAGATCGAAATTAATATCCATTATTGTCCCATGACCGGCTGTGCTACATAAATAACTCTTAATTTTATTAAACGAAAAAGGAAAATACTCTGGAACAACTGCTGTTATTCGCTGCATTAAGGCAATAAGTTTAAAAGCCATGAGGTCAAAAAACTTCTTGTTTGTTTCCAGGAAACGTCTTCAGTGCTCCGGGTAATGTCATAGACTCGATACCAGGCACGTTGATGCTGACAGACTGCCTGGAAACCTGCCAGGGTAACGAGTCGTGTCAAAGTGTCAACTACGAAACTGGTCTATGCGTTCTCTTCAGTGCCAACGCTGACATCATGCCAGGTAAGAATTTTATAATGATGACATGTGATCTATACCTATATAACATGATAAAGGACCCTTCGTGATTTTTTTAAGGAAATGGCTTTTGTTCTTGAATTAGGTTAAGTTGGGTTGAGATTGAGTTAGGTTACGTTATAGTAAGGCTAATGTGAGGTAGGCTGGAGGAAGTGACTTTATAAGCTCAGCATTACTTATAAGTGACTCTATAGTCATCTTGCGAAGAGTTTTCATGGTAGCGGAACCAGTAATAGTCTTAAGTCGACCCAATCAAGTTAAGAGGCTCTTTGTTGACGAATTATAAGTGAAAGCCATACGGTGATAGAAGCTTACATAAATAATGATCTTTGCTCCCAAAGCGGCACCTATAAGAAAACATGAAGGGTAATGTCGTATATGTATGTTGTATATGGTAGCCTGAAAATGATGGTGGTCCCAAAAGTGATGCAAGCAACATCTGTCGAATTTTAAAAAACATGAAGAAGGCTCATTCACATGCATTCCAAATAAAGTCCGTAGCTTCACAGCTCCGAACTACCATGTCTACAATATAAATTGCGTCATGTAAAAAGACTAAAATATCTAAGTAATTTTCTTGAGATGCAGCTTACCAAATCATTTTATACTATACAGAATCTTAGAAAACGAACTAATTAATAAGTCATGTTTATTTAATAGTCAAGTAATTAAACCGGATTGTTGATTTATGTTCAAGCACAGGCTCCATATTTTAACGGTTGACGCAATAAATAAATCCGTGTCAGGATAAGTTACACCCATCTGCACTTTAGAGAAAATTAACCAAATTAGATATTTGTACACTTTAAGTGGTAGCAACGAGTAGTGTGATTGGAAAGATGGTAGTGAAAGTATGCGGGTAAGAGCAGAGGCAGAAAGAAAAGGATTTTCTTAATTTGAGCATCAGTTCTGTTAATGAGGTGACAATGTTTGAACTTGACTAATTAATGCATCCGGAGATGAACTTGATCGAAACATTTTCATTTAGACCAAAAGCACCAGCCACAAACAAAAAAGCGCGTCATACCTTAGTTTGTAGTGGAATTTATGCTTTTCATTATCAGGCGTAGTTTTTGTATGCTTTTTAGATGAATTTAAGATGTTGGAAGTATATTCCAACGGGCATATAAATACGTATTTATCTCTAGGATATCACACCTTACTTCCTACACCACTGGACGAGGAAGCATTATAAACGCAAATAATTTGAAAACGAGAACGAGATATTTTTTGGATATCACCATGAAAAACCATTTCACTCATTTGCGTTGGTCTGTTGGTCTGTCCGGTAATCTTTGACCCCTCTATTACTGCTCGGATTTGGCTGAAATTTTTGCATAAGGTTAACCTTGTGCCAACGACGAACAAGTTTTGGTTTCAAGGTCAAAAGCGAAAATAATAAAAATAGCTTAAATTTCGTTTTTTGACGTTTTTTTTTGGGCAAAAAATTAATAGGTGGAATAGGGTAGTTCTTATTTTTTGATGTTAGTATATTTATACGTGCTCGAAATTATACGCCCCTTAGAATGATAGAGAAATGTTTTCGATTCGCTTTTCCGTCTGCTATCTGGGCTCAGCGCCCGGCGTAGCGGTCTTCGTGAGTGTTCTACTTGTACTGCGGCTGTGCTTCGGTTGGCACTGCTGCGTCTAAATTATATAAGCCTGTTTAACTAACTTGATACATTCAATTTCTCTATTGTACATGTTGGTAACTAATTTTTTTTTCTCGGCAGGCTTAACTTTATGCTTTATGAACTGTCGACGGTGTTGCGTAGGAAGTGCGGCGTCAACGTACTTGACGACATTTTTCAATGTGAATTTGGGATACCTAACATGTCTTTGATATTCTATGCCCTATACATTACGAGAAACTATATTACTCGCAACTGTTTTATATGTCTCAAATTTTCAGTAGCTGCGAAAGCATTTTTCGGACTTTGGTATGAAATTCTGTCGTAATGTTACCTCTAAGTCAAGAACGAAACATTTTTGTTGTTGTTAATTGATCAGTAACGGTTAGCAGTAACGATAAGACTTGATCACTTCAGAGCATAGTTGAAATTTTTTAAACAGGAGTTGCGTAACTAAATAGGTTTCAGTGTTTAACATGCAGGGAACTCCAATGATGTTCAGGTTTTTTAAAAACGAGAAGTTTTATTTTCACATTTATGGAACTCACTAGTTATCTTCGTGCAAGTTCTAAAACACCTGAGAGGTAGTTTGAATGAAAACCGATTTATGTTTATATGAAGGAAACATTGGCTGAATCTACTTGATGTCATTTTCATAGTTCCTATAAATTTGTTTAGCTAGAATGGTTGACGTGTCTCCTAAAATCTGTAGAAAGGTTGAACAAAACAGTAAATATTGATTTTTCAGAACTCTTACTTAATCTTTCGTGTTAGCTAGATCTGATTTCTGCAGACTCCACTGACCATGGATAAAGATTGTCTCCCGAGCCTAGAAACCAATCTGTGAAACCATTTAATTCATAGATATCTGATATATATCCTTTATTACTTCGCGGATAGAATGAAACGAGAGGTGTACTAATAAATGTCGACCATCCGATGAACGTATAACATACGAATGAATCGGTGTGTTCAATAATTGCCTTGCCATTGCACTTTGTAAATTCTCCTTACCAACAGGAAGGACAATATCAATTTTTCAAACGTTTAATTTATTACACAATTTATGATACCCTTATGGGCTCTTAAAAGGCTACTATTAATAATTAATTTTAAAAGGCAGGTATGTTAAGTATCCTCGCGGTAATTTTCAACTTGAAAATTAAATGATGTGCTTCTCAAGTAGTAGAATTCCTTATACTTTCCGGGAATGTCGCAAAGCATTCATTTTAATGGTAGCTAATATGCGTAGCTTTCGTCGAGACAAATTCCCGTTAATGGTCCTACAAGAGTAATATTTTACGATGCATGCCTCAATATGTCACTGAAGTGGCAAGTTCTACATAATAGCTTTGTATGTTTTCTAGTCGGAAAACTATTCAGCTGAGAGAAAATCAATATTTTGCACCTTTGATGCTCAATTTAGTGTAACTTCTGAAGCTTATACTGTGGTTATCTCACTAATCTATATCAGTTAATCTGCCCAACAGGGTTTCCCCGGCAATCAGTTTTACTCTTCAGGCAGACATCACGATATCGCGGTTTTCGATAATACACAGGAGCTCTCTTATAAATTGGAAACAAATGTTTCGTGAACATGTTGCAGGCCCTATTACAGAGTGTTTCGTGCAATTTAGTTTTTTAACTACAGGGCGTCTAAGAAAAGTGCTATTGATTAAACTTTTATTTTTCAAATGCAACACTTTGAATGTTATTGTTGAAACCTATAGTTGTTTTGTTCTAATTATAAATATACATGTACATATTTTTTATAGTTTGGTCAAACTTATATTTTGTTGTGACTAAAACTCCAAGCTTTCAACTAAACTAATGAAAAAAATATCATTGACTGTTTTTGAATGAGGTCTTACTCAACGGGTCAACTAGGAGAGCTGAAATTTTGGATAATGAGACTGATTCATGAGTACTATGTTTCAAGCGCAATTAAATATAATATACCTAATAATATCAGAATATCAAATCACTATCTTTGAAAAAGGCGATCTAGAAGGCAGACAGAACTGAGCGGTTTTGTACCTTGAGTCGCTAATAATTCGTCAAAAAATTATCAAAACACTTTATTCTCTTCTCAGAAGAGACTATCCGAATATGTTATCAAATGCGGAAAATACAATAAAAAAATTATCAAAATATATAAACGGAATATTCTATAGAAATTCGGATGGTTCTTCCCAAAAGAAGAAGACTGATGTGACTTACTATAACGTTAAACAGCCTGCCAGTCCGCTATTTTGAAAGTGAGTATTTTCATATTCTATGGCTAAAAGGTACTCATGAGGAGCTTCATACCATTTAAAAAATGATGATATGGAAGTAATTGAGGTATTAAAATAACGCATTTTGGTATTTTTGCTGGATGTGCATCTCTTTACAGGTCCACATCCATCAAAAATTGCAAAAATTTTAAATTTTGATCTCTAAATGACTTTCATAATTGTCCATCGTTTTACGTTAAAATATAGTATCATTGCTTCAATTTCATAATCTCGGATTTCCGCTCGCTAGTCTGACTCGTTCAAAGAATTCAGGATGTTCCCCATACACCACGAAGAACCATGTCACTCATTGCCGTTGGTCTATCTGCCTGATAATTTCTCACCCTTCTATACTTCAGAAGTATTGGTCGCATTCCAACGCAACCCTTGTAGGCTATGAAAATCGGCCCAGTGGCGGACAAGGGACAGAAAAAATAAAAATCAATGAATCTTCGATTTTCAGACCATTTCAGATTTTTTTTAATCTGTGAAAGACGCTTAACGACTAACAAGCTTCTGATTCCTGTTTGACGCAATAATGACATAGTTTCCACACACTTCTTGGAATTTCTATAATACATGTCGTAGGTAACTTTTATTTATTTGTTCCGCTTTTTATTTAGCAATTATTGCCACGGTAATTTTATCGATTTTGCCAAAAAAACAATGTGAAGTTGGTTGACCCTTGACATGCAAACCATTTCGCGATTTATTAAAAATTAGTCAATTCAAGGTTCCAGCCAGATACAGTTTTTGTCAACAGGTTCTAACATTGTGAAGAAGTACAGATAAGTCATCCTAATTGATTATATTTTCTGCTGGCACAACCAGTTGGTAGATATAACTCAAAAACGTAAGTATCCAATCAAAAATCACAAAGAATCATTTTGTTTTGTATTCGAACATCATTTAAAAATTAATCACTTTGTTATTTAATAGATACACAAAAGCGCACCTCTTTCACCCTCATTATTAAAATGGCACCTGAACTTCTCTAAATCATCCACTGCCTTTTTAGCGGTGCGTTGCCGATCTACTGGCAATAAATAACCATTTAAATTGCCCGATAGGAACGCCTTGGCAGTTATTTATACAGAGATACCACTTATAGGATATTATTTATTTGTCATCTTGTGGTATCTGCTGAGAGAGAATGTGATGGTGTTGTCGATAATCCTCATTATGTGTGTCGCTTGGCGCCCTCAAAGAGTTAATCTCTCTCGACTGCGATGCAATTCGAGAAATAGACGTCTTAACTTTGCCGATGCCGACAACGGTTGCCGGGGATTTTATTGCTCCGCTGTAGATTGGAAATCGAAGTAAGGGTGAACCATTGGCGGACATCGATAATAAACCTGCGTTTCTTTGTACAGAGCTTTGATTATAGATGTGTGCAAATTACAAAGTGGTCTCTGAATAATGTATCAAAAAGAAAAACAGAGTTGAACTCGTCAAAAAGTCGCTCGCTAATGAGATACAGGTTTTGTTGCCCGAAACTGAATAGTGTGATCAAGCAATAATATACATGTGCGTTTCTAACAAACTAATACTAATTATTGAGGCAATCCATTACCTTTAGATGATCTTAACGCTCATGCTCTGCTGTAGATTCAAAATACTACTTAATTTCGAACGGCTTGATCCTCTCCAGCAGCTGAGTACGAGGTCTGTGAATCAAGTGATGAGTCTGGCAACGTTGTGTTCGATCTGGCAACACTGGAGGCGATGCGCTTGAAGGGGAGGCAGAGGACATGTGATCTGCCTTCAGTACAAGTTTGAACTCGCTCGAGTCATTTGGTTGAACGTAGCGATTTTTTTGTGAAACAATTTCTTCTGTTGTGTTCTAAAAATGAGTGACATCAATTTGAACCTACTGTGTGCAATTTTTTGCTTCAGACTTGAAACAGATAAGATTTCAGGTTCGGTGGTTTAAAGCATTTTCAGAAGAGAGAGGGTCGACTGAAGCGGAAGGCATTCATCTTCAAGAATCGATGAAAATATTGACAGAATCTAGGATCTTGTGCGGACAGATCGACGGTTGACAGTAAGAATGATCGGATGATTCACACCGCCGTTCACCAGATCAAGAACAATTTGGTATTGCATCACGATAATGGTTGTTGTCACACATCAATGATAATGAACTAGCTTTTGGCCAGTAAAAACATTCCTGTGGCTCTTTAGCCTCCTTATTCACCTGATTTGAGTCCTTGTGACTTTTTCCTCTTCCAAATTTGAAAAATCACCTCAACGGAACTCATTTTTGGACAGTCGAAAACATTCAAACGGCTGTAACCGTCCAGCTGAATGCAAATCCAGTATCGAAGTTCCAGCACTGCTATGAGGAGAGGAAGAACAATCTCCAGCAGTGTGTGGCTTCAGAAGGAAGTTATTTTGAGGGTAACGATATAGAGTAATTATATTTGAACAAAAGATTAAAAAAAATTGGTGTCATCACTTAATCTATAGACTTCGTAGCTTCTGTATTAGGTGTTGATGCAGCCTTTCTTCGTGCCTGGTGGCTACTTTCTTGATCTCGTCTATAACCAGACGAATATTGAAATCGACATGAAAATCCCTATTACGAACTTATCGAGGATCATCTATTTTGGAATCTTTGACTAAGTTTGTCGATCGAATTCTTGGAACGGAGATGCAGGGTGCCGAAGGTTAACTCTGAAAATGATATCAGTATGAACGCTTATCATATAAAAAATATAATCCAATGCTATTTTTTCACATAACACTAGTTGCAGCCTGTAATCTCGGTATCTTGCGCCATAATTTTGTTCCTAATACTATTCTATTATTTTTTGTTGCTATATCAGACGTTGTGGCAGTGTAAAATGAAATTTTGTGTTCATAGCCTGTTCTATTCCTTTTGAACTGTTTAAAAGCCTCGGACTGTGCGTTAGTATGTGCAAACATTACGAAAAAGATATTCCTTATTTGGAATAAATATAGAAGTCCGCCTTTTCTTCTTATTAATCATCATTCTTTCAAAATTTTCAATATAAAATAGTTATGGTCAATATCACGAAAACCCCTTAAGCTATAGAGAACTAACGAGAATTCAGGTGCGATATCTAATATGATATTTAGAGTGATATTTGGTTAATTCCCAAAAATTCAGCTTTAGACTCCTTGCTATGTACTAACATCCATACTAGGTACTAAGGCTGCAACGATTTCAGTGTTAATACAAAAGCCTTTATAATTGTTCTTTAAAATAGATAGACAAGTTCGAAGTATTAAATATAAATGGCTTATTGCTTAGAGTAATAGTGCTATGGAACACTTGAAATAGGGTAATCAAGTGAGAAAGTTTCTGAAGACCTTACAAAAAATGTTCTGTTTCTGTCAACATGGTGACTACGTCTGTTGGATACTACTGGGCAAGAAGATGTTACTTTTTATGAAAATTTCTCTAAATCTTTACTGTGGATTTCGACTAAGATTGCTGTAGATCATAACACGTATTTAATAATACTAGCAAATTTCCCCGAAATAACTGTAAAGTCTGGTTTTATTGGTGCTAGCTGTTCAAGGGGGTATTCAAAACATGGACGCATAAACTGGGTACACCAATTTTCGTGGGAACACTTTTTACTTGACATCAAAGTATGATAAAACGTGATTTTTGGGATACAGTCCGGACTAGTTTCCGATTCATTTCGGCAAGGGAAACTAGTGTATTCAGCTATAAAATGCCTTTTGAGCTAACCCTGTAGATTGCTCAATAAACTAGTAGTGATCGCCGAAAAATAGGTGTTTTGGGATGAACAATTAGAAATCCTTAAGAACTACTTGACCAATCTACTCCAATTTTATTGATGTTATTTAGAAGTACCAATCCTACGAATGTGTAGAATTTCAAATATCTGCGAGATGCCATCGTCGCATTACCAACAAGTGCCAAAACCTGCAGTTTGCCTCGATTTTCGGCCATAACTTTTTCGCTATTAGTCGGAACTTTTTGTGTGTGGTCTCATTTTGTAGGTGTCATAAATACTTAGAAATCTTATAAATAGTGTTTTTTCGTTCCTGCCAACACATTCGATTGAATCCCAAACAACACGTTTTCTCATTCTTTGTTGTCGAATAAAAAATTTTCCCACAAAAATTGGTGTACCCATTTGATGCGACCATGTTTTGAATACCCCCGTGAACAACTTGCAGCAATAAAACGAGACTTTACAATCATTTCTCAGACCAGAGGTATTTCCGTCTAATATGATTAGAGAAGTAGAATAAGAATGTCCAACAGACTACTACT